ATCCAGTGGTTTGAGGAGAAAAGAAATAGAAAACACTTGCTGGCGTGTTGGAATTACCTTGGAGGCGAGGCTGGGGTCTCGTGACCAAGTTTGCTTTCAAAACGAGCTCCTGGTATGTGAACCATGTGGTGTGTGAGACAACTGTTTTTGCCCTGTGATTGTGTCTGGACGCTTGGGTGTGCGGCCCTGTGATGCTGACTGTGTGTGGGGGTACTGCTGTCCCCCTGAACTTCCCTTCCCGGGCTCTGGAGCCAGGCATGTGTCCACCTGTGTTGGGTGTTGTGATTTCTGCACGTGGACTCTTCGACTTCTGCTGAGTCACGTGCCTCTTCCATTAGGAGTTCCTGGTCCGTGGGCCACCAGAACGTGCATGCCCCGTGAGGCGGAGGCTGACAGGGCCTTTCACCATGCCGCAGGCCCGTGACATGCACACGCGCACACGCCTGCGCCCTCACAGCCCCCGACTGCACGGCACCATTCCGGCCTGAATATGTGTCTCTGTAGCTCTTCTTGTAGTTTTCGTTTTGAGTAAGGCTCCCGATACTGATGTGGCCGACTTTTTAATCATAATTGCTGCTGACAAGGTCATTAATTTTGGAGCAGCTCTCTGTTTTTTGGTCCAAGTGGCAGTACGTTGGAATTAAAGTGCGGCCTGTGCTGGCCGGGGCAGCACGCACTCTGGTGATTGCTGCGGCCTATGACAGCTGCTTCATCTCTGTGCACATCACAGTGGTTATTAATTGGCTTGGGCTATTATAGCAAAAAGAGCAGGGCACGGAGATGTGATAAAGTTGGGTTTTTAAGTGATAGTGGTAGAGATTTCAGCCTTGGCAACTAAATCACTTCCATTAGGCCATTGTTGGATGCAGACGTCCCCACAGCTCTTCTGTGGCGTGAGTCACCGTCATTGAGACCTCGTCAGCGGGCATCACTGTAGGTGGGCAGCAGCCAGATGCTGGGCTGGGCACGAGGAAACACGCAGGTTTCCCAAGAAAGCCTCAAATGTAGCATTTTCTTTCTTGCTAAACATCCTAACCGTTTTAAAGTTTATTCAGTCAGAATTTAAATCTGATCTTTATTAGAGTTACAAAACAAGGGATTTACCTGGAAATGGCATCTACTGTTTATTTAACCAATAGTTATTTGCTTCCTTAGTTAACAGAGTGTCATCCATTTTCGCTTCTTTGCAGTCTCTCGTTTTCTTTGTGTCAGACATGAGTGTGGTAGGTCAGTGTAACGCTGGATGCCGCTAGAGAGAGCAGCAAGCGTCGCAGCTGTCAGAGGCATCGCGGCTGAGACTCTGCTCCCATGGAAGCGTGTCATTAGGCTCGGCCCCAGAGAACTTGCTCTGGTGTCTAACTTATGTCTGAGTCTCAGAACCTCATGAAGACTCCTCATTGTGGCGCCTTTGAAGCGCATTTCCGTCAGCTTGCGGCCGTTACCCCTACAGGACCCTTCCCTACCTCCTGCTGCTTAGCACCTATCCCGGGCCCTCAGTGATCACAGCACTTCTGGGGGCTTCCCCCATCCCCTGCAGAGCCACCCTTGAGTGTGATGCCGTCATGTTCACACAAGACAAGGAAAATGTTTTGAAGCTGAGATTTAACACGCACGCACTTGGCTCAGGAGACATTGGGAGCTGAGGAGCACGTCTTAGTCCTGGGCACCATGCCCTCAGACCAGCTGCCGGGTGCACCGTGGCGTCAGCTGGGAAGGCTTCACACAGAGGTGGGTGTGGGTCAGAGTGGATACGAGATGGGTGTTTCACCTGCGGAGGTGGGTGTGGATCAGAGTGGATATGAGATGGGTGTTTCACCTGCAGAGGTGGGTGTGGTTTTTGGAAACAGCCAGAGGTTGGCCAGCGTTCAGAGCTGTTCTTATGGTGTTTTTCCTTGAATCTCCGACCAGTCTAGGGGCAGCAGTGTTGTTGTTGGGGAGTTTTATCCAAGGACCCACTGAAGGGCGGCTCATGTTGGCCCTCTGGGCCCAAGACCTTGTAAACTGCATGGTGCGGCGTCTTCTCACTTCACTGTGGTCTCTGCAGGGCCCACCCGCCCGGGTCTCGTGAGGTAAGCCTCGTGACCCGACTGCTGTCTCTCAGAGCTTGCACTGGTCTTCTTCTAAAGAGGCTCGACAGCAGAGAAAAGTTCATTCATGGCCGGCTCTGATCCATCCCTTCTGGAGGCTGTGAGTGGCAGACAGCGGGGCTGCCCCTCACCATAGCTCTGGTGTACCTCGAGGCACCCCGTGAGGGGGGCAGGGGAATCAGGTGGAGGGCCACTCTCTCAGGACCCCGTGGTGCTGGCACCCCAACTTTCATTCCCCAATGGCAGTTTCCTCTGTAAAAGACAGTCTTAAAACAAGTAAATGAAACTACTGGTCATCTGCCTATTAATAGCTGTGTTTTTAAATGTGCCTTTTTCCCCCAAATTGATACATAAATTGAAAGTGATTCTCGTTATTAAGGAAAACAAAGTTTTTCATGGAGTTTGGCAAGATGATAAGGAAATTAGTATGCAAGAGGAATATGCGGTTAGCTGAGACAACTGGTTTTTAAAAGAATTGTCGGTAAGAACTTCCCTGTAAGAAGCTGTACAGATTAAAAGCGTGGCATTAGCAGGAACAGGTAAAAAGGTCTGCGGAAAAGAACGCGGAGTCTCACAAAGATCTGGAGTCACGGGGCGTTGTGTTATGACATGAGCTCCGTGAGAAGAGGACCATTTCATAAATGGTGGGGATCGATGGGCCATCTACGCGGGAAAATCGATGAACGCGGATCCCACTTCACCCTTGAGTTCCACGTGGATTGAAGGTCAGCCGTAAAGACACGAGTGTGAGGACAAGAGAAGGTGGAGTGGCACCATGTGTGAGTGTGGGATGGGAAGGAGAACAGCTTTTGTTGGTTGCGAGACAGTGAGGGTCTCTGTGTCGCAGAAGACGCCGTCAGCAGTGTGAGAGGACAGCGGCTGACCGGGAAGCTTGTCTGTCACGTACAGTTTACGGAGACACTCCTGGAACCTGGGAAGGAAAGCAAGGGGCCAAGTAGGAATGCAGGCCAGAGAGGAGCGCCCATCCTGGTGAGCCGGACAGTCTACTGCTCTGTGGTCGGGCACGGAGTGGGGTTGGGCATGACGGGCTGTTTCACCATTGCCAAGATCAAACCCACGACAGGGCCACACCCTTGGCCTGGGTGATAGCTCCCATGGGGGAGCATACAGGCCAGGGCAAGTGGGGAGTGGGGCTTTGGGACTTCTTCCTTTGAAATTTGCCAGCTGGTGTGGGGGGACGCTGCTGACCACAGAACACGTAGGAACATGTCTTGTGAAAGATCCCAAAGGCCAGACCTGTCATTTGTGATCTCTTCCATGGCTCAAGTGATGGGTCAAGTGAGAAGGGGCTGGTTGGGTGTGGGGTGGGCCGCCGCCGCCGTGTTCCCCTCCCCACAACCCCGATGCCGAGCCCCAGGAAGGCGCAGTGCCCGGGTGCAGACGGCACGTGCGGTTAGGTGACGTCTGCACCCGGGGTGACGCACAGGCCTGCAGGAGCCTTGAACACTGCACCGAGCAGGAGTCACTGGGGTGGGTGGTCACACGTGTGATCTCTGGGTAACCAATTAGAATTTCTTTAGTTGACCTGGATTTTGTATGGCTGGTAATGGTGGTGGACAAGTCCCCTGAAGACACAGTCTGTTTGTGGAGGCTCTCCCCACTGTTCTGTACTGAAACCCCAGTGGCATCCACACAGCAGAGCTGGGCAGCAGAGATAGAAACTTCCGTGGCCGACATTGCCTTTTCCTTCTGTACACAGTACACATTTCTGTGCACTGGCTGTCTTGCTAGCAAACACGGTGTTGCAGGCGGCCTTCGTTTTGCCTCTGGGCGTTGCAGAGTGGCCTCTGGGAGTCGCGGCCGCTGCACTGTCAGGTGGAGGGTGGGGTGACGGTGTGAGCAGGCCGGGCTCACTGTCCAGGTGCTGCTTCACGTCACTGCCAAGCTGTGGCCACAGCACACTTTTTGGTGGACAGTCTTTATGAAATGAGCTGTGACTGATTTAAGATATGGTGGGAAGCTTTTTCAAACAAGGCGATACCTGGCGATATCTGGCTAAAAAGATGCAGTTGCTGTTATCATGTAACTTTGAAAAGTCCAAGGGGAAGGATGTATAAACACGTTTAAGACAAGGCCGAGCACGCATCCCTGGCTGGGCAGACCATCCAGAGGCCAGGAGGGGCTGTGGACACCTGTGGGTGCACATCGAGGTCAGGACCCCCGGAGTGTTCTGGCCCAGACACACACGTAGACGGCCACCCTGAATGTGGGTTCTCACGGCCCCGACACGCCGTGTTCCCTGTGCAGCCGCTCCTTCCCTGGCCTGTGTTTCCGTCTTGGTGCAGCGGTTGTGCTGCTGTGGCAGAGTGCTCGCCTTCCATGCGGGAGACCTGGGTTCAGTTCCCAGTGTGCACCTCACGCGCAGCCTCCACCCATGTGTCTAGTGGAGTCTTGCGTGTTGCTAGGATGCTGAACAAGTTTCAGCGGAACTTCCAGACTAAGACCAGGAAGAAAGGCCTGGTGATCCACTTCTGAGAATCCGTGGATCACAGCGGTCCGGTCCGTGACTGATCCGAGGGACGGTGCAGCACCCGGCAGTGTTGTTGTGTTGCGCATGGGGTCACCGTGAGTCGGAGAGACTCGACAGCAGCTGACAGCAACACGGTGCTTTCTTCACCACGTGGGGTCCGGACGCCGCGCGGTTGGTAGAAACACAACCGTGAGCCTTGCTGCCTCCTTCCTTGAGGCTGGGCCGGCACGTGTGTCGCTGGTGGACAGCTGAGCTCTGAGTGGCGGGTGTGCATGGGCATGGGGCCGCTGTGCCAAGTTCTGGGGCAAAGGTACAAACTCGGGGTCTCCCTTCTGTGGGGAAAGCAAGGAGCGTGGTGGAGCAGGTGTGGTGGGCGTGTCGGGGCGAACGTGCTCGCTAATCCTGCCTCTCTTCCCTCCCAGGATCATCGACCAGAGGTTTGAGAAAGCCGCCTACTTTGTCTTTGGTGATTTCAATTTCCGGCTGGACTCCAAGTCCGTTGTGGAGGTAGGCACCGTCTGGTCTCTGCGTTTGCTTTTATTAAGAACAAAAACGGAAGGCATGTCATCCTTTAAGGGTGGTTGCACTGTCACTGTTTTCACAGGTTATATTTTTAAGGCAGAAACCCCTAATAAGGGAAGGTGTTTTACTGTCCGAAACGGGGTCACGGCTGGGATTAGAGGTGGGCTGAGTCCCTCAGAATGACACGGCTGTTAGCTAACATTTGCTGAGCCCTGGACGCCTCACGGTGTGCCGCGTGGGTGCTGTTGTCCACAACCAGGAGGTGGAGTAAGAGGCCGCCGACTTGGCACCAGGGGGGCGGCCGTGGGTGTCTCCAGGGGTGGGCGCACTGGGGAACGGTTACTGATGGGGACGCTCAGCTCAAACCATCCCACGCCAGCACTGGTCACTGCCCTCATCACACAAGTCGGCCATCCTCATCGATCTCCCATCCTGGGACGACGGTTCCCCAGGACAGAGCTGAGTGGGCAGGGGTCACCTGTCTCCCTCTGGTTGACAGAGGTGAGTGATATCCTACTGAAATCCTCGTGTTTTGTATGTGTGCTGATGGCATCTCACAAGCAAGGCCCCATGACCTGCACGTTCGTGTGCGTTTTGATAAGCAGGCAGTTTTCCCTGAGCGTTCACGACTCCTGTGGAGAACTCGGCCTCACATGGAGTGACTGAAGCGCTTGGGAAGAGGGAGCTCAGACCAGTTCCGGGGGACCCCAGGTGGTTCACGGTTCCGTTGACCTCCTCTGGCTCGTGTCGGGGTTATGGAGCTAATCTGTCGGACATCAGGATTCAAATCAAAGCCTCAGCCCGGCACCCCATCAGGGTCTGCTTGTCCTGGTGGAAGTCCCCCACCCCCGTCTGATGCTGCTTAGGGCCCGCCCAACCAGGCCCAAGGGCCCACGAGACCAGACGTCCCTCACGGAAGCTGGCCTCCTCGATGTCCGGGCACATCCCACAGGATCTGGACTCTCTCATGTTACACCCTCGCATGTGGGGGATTTCTGGCTCCGCACTGGAGGGTAAGTGGATCGACTATGGACAGAGCACCCCCTGCCATTGGCCTGTCACCAGGGGGCGCCTCCCACCCACCCCAGAACAGCAGACAAAGCAAGACCGCGTCTGTCAGTCAGGCTGCCGCCCTGTGGCTGCACATCAGGAAGAGGTCAGAGATGCTTCCAAATGCCCCCCTCCCCGACTCACCAATATCACAAAGGACGCCAGGCCTGACTCGGGCCAGAGTTGTCCCAGGCCTGCATGCTGCCTGTTCCTCGAGAACGTTGGGCAGACTTGGCGCGAGCGCATGGCCCAGGGGCTCCTCCTGCTCTGAGGTGCACATCTGCACATGTGAGCGGGTGCCTGACGCCCGCCGAGCCCCACACCAGCCTTGTGCTCCCCCAGGACACAGGGCGTGTGGCACGGGCCCTGTAGCACATGCCCGTGGCCTGGACGTGAGGGAGGTGGAGCAGGCAGATGAGGACATGTGGCGGCCTGTGTTCCCAGATGCCGTGGACACGTCAGCGGGCAGGGGAGCCGGTCACGCGAGACCAGAGATGGAGCATGTCCTTGAGTGGGAAAAGGACAGCATCTTACCCAGAACTGCCTTCGTGCCTGACTTTCTCGTCCAAACTGCCGAGGAGTAAATGAACTTAAATGCTCTCCTGCTGAAGGGGTTGTTTCTTTCGTGAATTGCAACATGTTCTCCCAAGAAGGTAGCTTTTTTCTGAGTCACTGAAGAGCTTCTAGATTCTAGGAGCACTCCGGGGCACAGAGGGGTCAGGTTCAGTAGACCCTGAGTTCATGTAAGCTCGGGCACCGTACAGCACTCCAGGGACAGAGGGGTCGGGTTCCGTGGACCCCAAGTTCGTGTAAGCTCGGGCGCCGTATAGCACTCCGGGGACAGAGGGGTCGGGTTCAGTGGACTCCGAGTTTGTGTAAGCTCAGGCACTTTCTCCTCCTCCTGCTCCTGGTTTCCTGTTACTTTCCCGTCAGAGTAATTGACACGGATTTGGGATCTTTTGAGATGCTGTTTCAGTACGAAGCAGTGTGGCCCGTGTGTGCTGACCCCCACCCCAGGGTGTCTGGCCCTCTCATGGCCCTTCTCCCCCCGTCTCCTCCACCTGTCTGCCCTCTGGACCAGGCCACCCACGCTCTGACCTTCACCCTCCGCTACGCTCCTGGGGGGCCTGTGGATGCCAGGACCATGGCTTCAAACCGACGTTTCAGCCCAGCAGCTGGACACAGAGCTGTGTGGGGGGGAAGTCAGCAGGATACGTGCACCTCTCAATGGGAGGGAGCCGAGAGCCCCTCCCCGGCATCACTGCAGCCCCTCCTCTCACATGAGCTCGTGATCAGGCGACAAAGCGTGGGCTTTAATTGCTAATAAAAATAATAATAAACATTATACAGGTACGTGCCCCTTCCCTGAGGAGGTCAGTTAGCAACAATAAATTATTGGTCTGCCACGGAGTAAGCATTTTTATGTGAGTCGTAATCTCAAGTCTTATTGATTTTGCTTTGCTAGGAAACGGCGTCAGTGTTGTTGGGGATTCAGGGATCAATAAGGTAGTTGTGCGTTCCCAGGCGCCAGTGGCCGTGCCCAGGCCAGGAGGATGCCCATGCGCGCCGGCATGAGGCCGGGCAGACGCAGCGGGAGAGGGTGCAGCACAGGCCGGACCTGTGGTGTGGCTTGTGGCGGCTCTGGAACCTTCTAGAAAGGCCCTGTGAGTTTCAGTGTCCTGCTTCCAAGTCAGCAGTCTTCTGTGGTGGTGGCCTCTCCGTGGCCCGGCGTGGTGACCAGACCCAGGCTGCCATGTGCACTCCATGTCCAACGACTCCCAGGGGGGCCGACGAGGACAGCAGAGGGCTTGCACGCTGGATGGCGCCCACGGGAATCGTGTGTCCTACGCTCTTGCGGGCACTGCCAGGTGTGTGTAAACCCAGGTTCAGTCTGAAAACAGTCCCTTCTGGGAGTCGTCCTGAGCATGATGGCGGGTGTTAGCGGACACGCTGCTACCACACGGGTCAGGCCCTACGGTGGAGCCATCCGATGCCCGGCGGCCCCGCCGCTCCCTCCCTTGATGCTGCCGACGATGACACCATGCAAGGCAGCCGTTGGTCCTGGTGGTGGTGCTCCACCCGGATGAGGCCAGGCCCCGCTCTTCTGGCCCATCAGCCTGGCGCTTTCAAAGCATGGGAGGAAAGTCGATAGTTTTTAATTGAATTATTTGCTCAATAAATAAGTAAATGTGTCCAAGCTCCACACATTAATTTTTGGAGGCTTTTTATGCCCACGTGGCCCTTTAAAACCTGTGGGCATATGGCTGAGCAGTTGACAGACGAACCGTCCACTTGCATTTCGCACACGGCTTGCTGCAGAGTAAAGCAGAAGGAGTGGGGAACGTGGGCTTTGGCCTTAAGTGCAGATTCTAGGCCCACCAAGCTCTGGACCCAGGCCTGTCTCTCTGGGCACCGTTACAGCCGTCAGCTGAGCGTGGAGAGTCGGCGCCATGTGAAGGTAGGCGGCGGGGGCCCGGCAAGGCTCAGCACTCAAGAGGTGGGGGGTTGGGGGACAAGCCTTCTGGCTCTTTCCAGAGTCAGATCCACAGGAATGACCGCTGGGAGGTGCCCAGTGCATTTCCTCAGTGACATCCCCTCCGCCCAGTCATCAGGATGGCAGCACGCACCCCCTCACGGTCCCTGACTGCTCCACGGAAGGCCCTGTTCCTCTCATCAACCTCCGACGTGTGTGGTCCAACGAGGAAATTATCATCAACCCGTGTTTATCTGGACGTTGACTGTGCGCACTGGGCGCGGCTTCCTCCATGTTTGATGTGACTGCGTGTCTGAGTCTCCTGGGCCTGCCATAACAGAGGACCGAAGTCCTAGGCCTTCAGACAACAGGAAGGCACTGTCTCACAGCCGAGAGGCCAGAAGGCTGAGTTCAGGGTGTCTGCAGGACCAGGCTCCTTGGAAGCTCTGGGGAGGATCTGGTGGCTCCAGGTGGTGTTGGCTCCTGGCCGCACTCCTCTGCCTCCGTTGGCTTATGACTGTCTCCTGCGTGTCTTCTCTTCATTTATCTCTTAGAGGGATACTTGTCATTCGATTTAGGGCCCGCCCTAAACCTGGGTGATCTCATCCTGAGAGCTGGGACTACATCTGCAAAGAAACTGTTTACAAATAAGGTCCTGTTCTGAGGTTCCAGGTGGTCGTGAGTTTTGGAGGGACACGATTCACCCACCACACCGTGTAAGGCTGGAATTACATATCTTACAACCATGTGTAGATTGAACACTTACACAGATGTCCGAGTTCTTGGCACAGCTACATCCAAGAATGGGACCCCTGGGAAAAGTGGCGTTTCTCTGGTGGTACCGGATCTCGATGGCTAGGCTGCCGATAGGTTGTTGAATTTTAGAACCCATGGAAGCACCTACTTAGGGGATTGAAGTCTGCCAGTTAGCATGGCTTTTAAAAGGGCTTCTAACCATAAAACCATCCGCAGAAATTTTGTGGAAACCAAAGAGAAGTGTCCACAAAACGTTTCTGTGGGACTCAGATGGTGGGAGGGGAGATGCTGTGGGCCACGGGGAGCCCGTGAGGGTGCTCAGGGCACCACACTGGAGTGCAGACGCAAGCCTGGCGCGGATGCGGGCCTGGGTGGACACAGGCCTGGCGCAGACGCGGACGTGGGGCAGACGTGGGCCTGGGGCGGACGCGGGCCTGGCACACACATGGGCCTGGGGCGGCCAGCTGGTCTGAGGGTTGCTCTGTGTGGACCTTTCCCAGACCTCCTGCATGCAGGCGTCCAAACGTCAGGTCCCTTGCATTTCTTTCTGCTGAACTCCATCTGAGTGCAGATGTGGCTGTTCGGAGCATCCGTGGGAGGGAGAGTATAGGTGGTCCTCCCCTCTGGCTTCTTTCCCTGACAGCTCTTCGTCGCTCTGGGTTTCCTTGTGGGCCCGACTGCTCTCACTCACAGTGGGGTGGGCCAG